ACCAAAATGTGAGAGATTTGAAACCCAACAACAGTTTCACTGGACAAAGCATGTCAATCTACTTCCATAAAGATTTACAACCTATTGAGCAATTCTGCTTTATGTTATGGGGTTCTGTGAGTCAAGAGATTATCTTTGGCAAATGTTTGTTAAATGTAGGAATGTATGGAATGAATGAGCACTTAAATACATTATTTCACATTGTGTTTATTTCAATCAAAAGGAAAAACAGGGAACTTGAGAGTGGGGATGTATTTCTATAGACATTTATTCAAAGGATCTCTTGGAATAAAATGGCATTTATTTTGAAATAAAAACAGTGTGCAGGAGCTATTTCAGTATAGTAGAGCACTGTTCCTTATAATCCCCAAACCTCACTGCTGTGGAGTTGGTTCCGACTCATAGTGACCTTCTATAGGGCTTTAGAAACTGTCCATCTTTTAAAACAGTACTTTTGGCATAAAATTTATGTACCACTCAATGTAATGGTTTAAGTAATATTTGAAAGACTTGTGCAATCATTACCACAATTAAAATGAGTACAGTTTCTTCATTCTTATACCCAGTAGAATTAGCTCTCCATGTCTCCTCAAACTCCCCTGCTATACTCTGAGGGACTATTAATGTAGTTTTTGGCTCTATGGATTACTAATCAGGGATTTCATATAAAGAAAATTATACAAAAATTCTAATAACAACAGCCAAATAATATAGACAAACCTCAATCCAAAGAAAAGAGCAGAGCAGAATAGAAGCCGGAACAAACTACATATAGATAAAAAGGTAAAAACAATCATAATATGTTCTATAATAACCTAACTATATCTGCAATTTTCAATGCACTCACTCTGAGGACAAGGTTATTCACATCCGTAGTCAATAATCTGAGGGGGTTCAGTGGAGGCTTAATCCATGTGGGATCTCTGCAAATGGATTTTGGGGTTCACTCTCATCCATAGCCTTTTGCAAGCTGGTGTTCAGAAATGCAGCTCTAATATGATTCCTTCCTCTAATATTGGATTTTATAATTTACAATCCTCGGATCACCTTAATGGTGGGCTCCTTCCATGTGAACTTAGCTGACAGCTCACTTAGATGCATGCTTGTTTTAAGACAAGCATTTGAAACCCAGGTTGCTATTTTTCTCTGATAGCTGGGGACCATCTGATTTCTTCACCACACTTTGCAATAGTACCCATATCTTCAGTGATCACTTAATAAGGGCAAGTAATTTGAAGTTATAAATCTTAACCAAAGCAAATAATCTCAAATAGTTCTCCCTGGAATTAGTTGGTGGGTTAATTTGGGTTGTTGATTGCAAGGTCAGCTGTGAAAGATGAAGTTATTTGTTCCAGCAAAGATATACAACATGAGACACCCAAAGAGGTAGTTCTACTCTGTTCTAACAGGTCACTACGAGTAAGATTCAACTTGATGGCTGTGGTGGGGATGTCAGAGGCTCACTGAAATGAGCTTTGAATGGAGACCAATTGGAAATAGATAATTTTATAGTTATGGGGGAAAATACAATAGGGGTTTCTCAAGCTAAAAGAACTGAGGTGGGGGAGCTTTAATATTTATATATTCTATGGGCGGGGGGAAAAATAGAATGATGCAGCAAGCAACAAAAGAAGATGGAATACAGAGAGTTGCTATACGCCCGCCCCCTGCCCCCCCCAAAAAAGGTCACCTTCCAGCTATTTCAAGCAGTAGCATCAGATCGAGACTCAATGGGACTCAAGGAAGAAGCTGAAGATGAACTAAAGACATTGGAGAAAAACACCACTCCAGGAGTTGATGACGCACCAATTAAACTGTTTCTAGACACATTTGTAATGCTGGAAGTGCTCACTTATCTATGCCAAGAAATATGGAAGATACCTATCTGGATAACTGAGTGGACGACTTACATATTTATGCCCCCCCCCCCAAAAAAAAGAAAAGAATCTAGCATGATGTTGAAATTCTTGAATAATGACATTAATGTCATATGATGTTCAAATTTCACAAAGGAATAATTTTAAATAGTTACAAGAATACATGAACAAGAACTGCCAATAATTGAGACTGGATTCATAAGAGGACATGAACAAAAAACATCATTGCTAATATCAGATCTTGGTTAAATGTAGAAACTGCCAAGAAAATGTTCACCCGGTTTTATTGACTATTCAAGGCATTGAATTGTTTGCATCATCACACATTGATGATAACATCGTGAAGAATTTCAGAAAATTTAATTGTGCTCACACAGAACCTATATACAGTATAGACAAAAAAGCAGTTGCCTGAAGATCCAAGGTATAATGCCTGATTTGAACTCAGGAAAGGTGTGTGTCAGAGTTGTATCCTTTCAGCAGACTGAATCAGGCTGTATGCTGAGCAAGTGATACGGAAAACTGGACCCTGTAAAGAAGAATGCAGCCTTGGGGATGGCTCATTAACAAGCTGCAATGTGTAGATAATACAGCCTTGCTTTCAGAAAGCCAGGAGGACTTTTTACATTTACTGATGAAGATCAAAGACTGTAACATTCAGTCTGGATTCAATTTCAACCAAAAAAGAAAACAAAAATTCTCACACTTGTACAAATAAGCCGTACCATAATGAAAGGAGAAAATGTTGAAGTTGTCAAAGATTGCATTGTAGTTGGACCCATGAGATTGATAGTAGCAAAAATAAAGAAAAAATGGCATATTGCATTGGGTGAAAAAAGACTGCAGCCTGCAATTCTTTGAAGTGTTAAAAAACTAAAATATCCCCTTGAGAATGATGGTGTACTTGACCCAATCTATGGTATTTGCATTTGCCTCATAAGCATGTGAAAACTGGGCAGTAACTACGGAAGACTGAAGAACAATTGGCTGAAGAGAGTGAATGATGGTGTTGCTGAAGAATATGAAAGATAGCATGAACTACCAAAATAATGAACATATTTGCCTTGGAGAAAGTGTAGTCAGAAAGTGCCTTAGAAACGAGGATTGTCAGATGCAGAATGGACTGAGACACAGGATGGACTGTGATGCAGGATGGACGAGCAAGCATTTCATTCTTTGGTTACAAGTGGGAAACTGAGGACCTGAAAAGCAGTGTGCATGGCCTGCTCCCAACACTCGTGACCACAGGGATTGGCACACCATCCCTACTGATAGGTCTCCACAGTCCAAGATACGGAAAGCGCCTCAATGCACATATTCCAGGAAGGACATTTCTCCACAGCACATCTACCCTCCATAAATGCAAATATAAAGCTGTCTCCTACAGACTCCTGTCTCCTCACTTACTGCAGTTAAAGGGAGTTTATGTCTAGAACATTTGCTCCTTGGTCCCTTGTTCCTAAGTAGCAATTTGCACCTCTTGTCTCTTGCATGCCTGGTATTCCATTTGAAGTGTTCCCCTTGAGGGCTTGGGATATTCAAGATTAGTACATTGCTCGTTTGTGTGCTGTGTATGTGTAATAAGAAGTGTGCTTGCCTCAAGAGCTATAAAACCCAATTGTGGAATAAACTCTGGTCTCTTGTACCCCTTCACACTTCTCCTGAGTCCAGTCCCCTGAATTCCGCTGTCTGCCTTCTTTGTTTTCTTGCACATATTGCTCAACAGGATCATTTGACTGTGGGGCTGCACCGCACAATAGGGTAGCTGTGAGTCAGAATTAACCTTCAGGAAGGCAATTAACCTAATGGCAATAACAAGACATAAGGGAGATGCCAGGGGTGGAAGGGGTGGGGACAGTTTGATGGTAGTCTTTGGCTACTCTTTGTTTTCTCTTTTCAGTAAAAAATATACCATGGTACATTTGTCAAAGCTTACATCAACATGACTGTTAAAAAAATTTCAGAATATTCACATTTTACCAATTTGTTTCACTAATGATCTTTTATCCCCCCTCTCAGGATCTCCTCTGATCTGTGACAGTGTCTCAGAATTTCCTTGTTTTTCATGCTTTTGACAATTGTGAGAAATGTTGGTCATTAAGGTGTATTTGGGTTTGTCTGCTATTTTGTCTCATGAAGAGATTGGGGTGATACCTTTTCAGATAAAATACTACAGATGCTAAATGCCCTTATAATTGCATCACATCAAGGGTTACATGAATCCGCATGATTTATCATTTTAATGTTAACCATGGTGACTTCTTTAAAGTGGCATCTATTTCTCCAGTGTAAGTTATTACCATTCCCTTTCAATGTGCCATTCTTCAGAAATGAATCACTAAAATCAGCCTACACACAAAGAAAAAGGGAATAAGTTCTATAGAGCATACATATTATTTATTTATAATTCCTTAAGGAAGATTTTCTTAACAGAATAGAGACTTTAATATGAAGTGATGTCATATTCTCCTATAAAATTTATGCAAGTTTGGCCATCAATTTTAGCTATAAGTGGAATAGGCTAGAGGATTATAATCTAGTATACATGTTATAATGCTATAATGATCTGTTATTTTTTAGAAATTTCGCTGGAGGAATATGATTTTTAGGTTTAATCTAGAGTTATAGTGCTCCTGTGATAAGGAAAGACAACTTTCAGGATCACCAATTTCATTCAAATCTTAATTCCATAGCACAAAATTCATATAAAATCCATAAGTATTACTGTAGATTACGTAGTTTTAAAAATAATTTGCATAGGAGAGTTTTCTGCAAAGAAGAAAATCTAAGAGAAAAAGTCCACTATTGTTTGGAATTAAATTTTCTCTAACATTTCACTTCTAACTACATCCACACAAACAAAAGCCCACTGCAGTTGTCACGTCCCACTCACAGCAATCCTATTGGACAGAGTCGAACTGCACCATACGGTTTCCAAGAGTGTCGCTGTTTATGAAAGCGGACTGCCACAACTAAGGAGAAATGGCCAACTGTTTGGTTAGAAACTGCGTGCTGTAACCATTGAGCGACCAGGGATTCTTCATTTTCCTGCTGGAACATGTCAAATCTAAGCGGATGAGGTGGCCCTTCTCCACTTAGCCTTGTCCAATGTATGCTAGATCATTAATAAATTTTGCCTATACAGTTGCAGCTGGACTTGCAATTGTCGCTGACAAACTGATGACTGCACGTCCACTGTCTCTTCAGATCTTGACAGTTACTGAATTTATCTTCCTCTTCAGAACAACTATTGGCTGGAATAAAAGCAAGGAATTTAGTTGCTTCATTATTTTCCTCTAAACAGCAGCATAGTCATTAATTTCAATGTCATAGAAAGGAATTGAGAAGCTGACATTACATTACGGTGGATAGTCTCTGCCTTGAGAAAAGATAAAGTCTTGTAGTTAAACTTATTGCTAAATGAATTTCTTCCTTTAAAATTTGAATTTTATTATTTATTTATTTATTTAAAGTCATTTTATTGGGGGCTCATACAACTCTTATCACAATCCATCCATCCATCCATTGTGTCAAGCACATTTGTACATTTGTTGCCCTCATCATTCTCAAAACATTT